CCCCCCCCCCCGTGTTCTCCCCTGAATAAACAAATATTAAAAACTAAACTAAGATAAAAGGGGCTGGATCAAAATCCTAGCTTTGGCAGCCATCAGGCCATTTCCCTGCTCCCCCCTTTAGCTACAAGCCTATCGTGGAATTCATCGACGCCCAGTTCGAGGCCTACCTGCAGGAAGAGCTGAAGATCCGCAGGGTCCTGCACGCCTACCATGACTCCCGAATCCACGCCTGCTTGTACTTCATCGCCCCCACGGGTCATTCCCTGAAGTCTCTGGACCTCGTGACGATGAAGAAGCTGGACAGTAAGGTGCGGGGGCAGGGGCGGGGGCAGGTGGGAAATCTAGCTTACTGGTCTCTTGTGCAACGCGGATGCCAGATTCCGGGAGAGGATTTGTGGCCTCCTCCCCCTCTCCTTCATTCCCTGTCCCTCAGACGGTGTCCCAGAAAGATGGTGTCATGGACCCAGTGCCCATGTTGTGTGCTTCGCGATCTGTTTTGCCAGCGCTGGGCGTGGGTTTATCCTGAGCCGTCTTTCGGCCCTGATCCCTCTTGGTTAGGACAAGGCTGGATACAGGCAAGGTGGCCGGCTGGGCCTAGGGGGCTCAGCCCTTGGCAACGGAAAGGTGTTTTTCCTTTGCTCCAGTATTCACTGGCCTGTCCTAGGATCAAACGTGCAAAACTTGACTTTGAGAGTTACTGTTCTCTATGATCCGTAATTATTTCAACAATGACCGCTGTTGCTTGTCAAATCCTCGTCCTATGCCACTCCCGTGTGGGGACCTCATGGAACATCTCCTTGGATTCTCACAACTCTGTAGGCAAACGCTATCATCCCCCATTTACAGAAGGGAAAACTGAGGCTCTAAGAGACTAATGACTTGCCTGTTGTCATATAGCCAGCTCCCGGCAGCATCTAGATTCGAACTCGGATCTGTGACACCGAGTTATATGACCTCCATTCCAGAGAAAGGTGGGGGGGGGGGATCAGGCACGTCCCGCTTTAAGAGAAACTGGAAAATGTAAGTCCCACACCAGATTGGACAAGAATTCTTCATGTGAAAGGATTATTTCCTTTCCGAAAGAATCGATGCAGGATTCTTTAAAAAAAAAAAAAAATACATTTCCCCCCTGACATTTCATATGTGCCTGGCACTGGGACCAGTACGTGAGATGCAATATTTTAGCACCTCAGCGCTAAAAACCGACATTCAGCTATGATCAAAACAGGAGTAATTTTTTTCAGTTTTTTGCAGCACCGAGCTCGCCAACCTGTGACTAACTGCCTGCTCTGGAAATGTCATCATGCCCTGCATGTCCTGTACAGGGCAGCAGAGAGCCACGCGCTGGTGGCCTGGTGGCTGGGTTGGGTTAAGTAGGCAGCCTTTGGCAGGTGTGTCTATGGGGACCAGGTGAAAAGCGACAAGGGGGATCTGCTCTGCCTGCTGTCCCACCTTGGCTTTGACCTCCCCCCAACCAGCCTCCTGAATAGACTTCACGAAAGGTGCCTGCAGGGTCCAGTCCTTACACCTAGCACCGGAAACTGGCGGCAATCTCCAGAGGTTCTCCTAAGGCAAAGTGCCGAGCAGGCAGAGTTCATCTTCCAAGTGTAGGGCTCCTTTCAGGGCCCGAGCACCACCCGTGCTGCCGTGCCGGAGCCTGCTGGCAGGAACGCCTGTGGTCTCCGTGTGAACCTGAGCTTGGGTGTGCCCTGTCTCACGAAGGCATGTGCATTTCACGATTCTTTACTTTCCAGCAGCAGAAGCCTTGTGCCTTCTTGGAGTAATTTCAAGGAGCAGGGTTGAACTTTGGGGTGGCCCTGGGCCCTCCCCCTGCTGTCTGAAATCAGGCATGTCTACTTGCTTGCTTTATGCGGAAACTAATCGTGGAACTCGGGCAGTATAACCCTTTTTGCATGAAGACTCGATCAGACTGTAACTGAGAGGGTCCCCTTCATCCAGCCGGGTTGGTCCATAAGTTTGCTGCCAGAAGGGGGCTGGGTGTGCATCTTTACCGAGCTCTGCCCTGCCTCCCCTCCGTGCCGTCACCCGAGTGGCTGGGTCACTGTCACAGTGACTGGGGGCTAGCCTGCACTGGATAGGTTGGGACAATTCACTGTTAACAAGGAGTGGCCACCTCCCCCCTCATCAACCACAGATTCTCAGCTGTCATCCTTCTGCTTTGAATCACCCAAGCAGTGGGGTGCCTCGGTGGCTCAGTCGGTTAAGTGTCCCACCTTGGCTCAGGTCGTGATCTCATAGTTCATGGGTTCAAGCCCGGTGCCGGGCTCTGTGCTGACAGCTCAGAGCCGGGAGCCTGCTTTGGATTCTGTGCCTCCCTCTCTCTCTGCCCCTCCCCTGCTCATGCTCTGTCTCTCTCTGTCTCTCAAAAATAAACGTTAAAAAAAAAAATGAATCACCCAAGCAGTGCTATTGATATTAAGATATCACACAGCTCATGAGCTTGGGTCTGAGCTGGTTAAGACTATGGGTTTAGGAATAAGGCTAAACTTGGATCTGGATCCCAGTTCTGCTACTTACCTGCTCTGTTGCCTTGGACAAGTTACTTAGCCTGTCTGTACCTCAATTTCTCATTGTAAAACGAGAGGGTTGTTGTCAGGATGAGTTGGCTTAATCCATGTACTCAGCACTTAGCAAACAGCACCCATTGTCATTTATTCTATTGTAACCTGGCTACAAGGGGGCCAGTCCCAGACCATTGGGTTGAGCTGTTCCTTCTGACAGCTGGTGGAGGTCCTCTGTCACGCTGCTCTCAGCCACAGATCACCAGCAATGATCCCACTTTGCTCCTTCCTTCCCTAGGTGAACATCATTCCCATCATTGCCAAATCAGATGCCATTTCTAAGAGTGAGCTAACGAAGTTCAAAATCAAAATCACCAGTGAACTTGTCAGCAACGGGGTTCAGATCTACCAGTTCCCGACAGATGACGAGTCCGTGGCAGAGATCAATGGAACCATGAACGTGAGTTCAACAGGGGTTCAACTTTCTGACCATTTGCTGTTTATTTGTATTATTATTATTTTTACAAACTAGCCATTAGACATCCCTGTCCGTTTTAGTGTCTTCAACTCTCGATCATCTGAGTCTCAGGGGTTTGTGAGGAAGGATCCAGAACCAAAACAGCTCCTCTCCCCTAGTGGTGGCTGCTTGAAAGCCTCAGAGATGTAGAGATTAATTGCCAGAGACCGAGGGAGGGAAAGGGCAACTTCAGGAAGAGTCTGGAGCCGGGAATTTGGACCTCTCCGGCCACCCTCCTCTTTGATGCCGCCTTGATCTAAGCCAGCCCCCATGGGACCGCCAGAAAGGCAAACGGTCTTCATCTCTGACCCAAACAATGCCATGGCAACCACGGCCAAAAAGTTGGCTTGTTCCCGAGACTGCAGGATAATCCGTACTCGGAGAACGGAGCCCTCTGCCCCCAGGAGGAAAAATGACATATAGCCTCCGATTTGTCTGGTGACTAGAGAAATGTTCTTTTTAAGTTTCAGGGTTATGCTTTGCTTTATTAAGTGTGAATGAATCAAAAAAACCACCCCGACTTGCCATCTTTCCTCTCCTTTCTCATTTCCGCCCCCCGCCCCCAACTGGAGGAATGAGTAACGAGGGACGGCGGGGAGTCCTCGTGCTTCTTTACAACGTGTTGATGCTGTTGCTGTGAAATCTTCAATGTTGTGATTTCAAGGAGACAGCTAATGGCTTGCAGAAAGCCTCTGCTTTGGGAACAGATTTTCTTTTTCCTCCCTGTTGAGAGGCATCAGTTTTTCCTGATGACATAATGCCTGGGTATAGCCAAACTCAGGAAAGCCTGGTAATAAAAGCCGTTTTTAGAAAACTTTTCTGCCGCCGCTGCCCCCAAGTTATCATTATGGCATCAGCTGCCCACCTCCTACGAACTGGCCAACAAATGAGCATAGCGGGGCGGTAAATCATTGTCTCCGCCTGACTTCCTGCCCATCCGTACACCTGAGATATGTTCGTGATGAGGAGTCCCTCATCATCTCTGACAAATCTGGCCCCGAGAGCGAGGCTCTGTGGCTTGTGATGGGCGGAGTTCTATCCTCTGACCGATCTGAGCAGGAGAAAGAAGGGGGGGGTGAACAGAGAGATGGGTGCTTATTCTCTCAAGCAGTCAGGGCTTGTTGATGGAAGCCAGGCTCTGTCAAGAGAAAACCTGAAAGGGTGCCTGGCCTGCAGAACGAGGGGAGCCTAGAGAGAAGGGTCACGTGGTGTCACTGGCCCTGATGTCCAGAAACGTTCAGTCACCTCAGAGCATCAGGCCCCGTAGATAACGTTCAAACTTGGGTTCCCTGCTGGGGCGCCTGGGTGGCTCAGTCGGTTAAGCGTCCGACTCGTGGTTTCGGCTCAGATCGTGATCTATCGGTTTGGGAGTTCAAGCCCCGCATCGGGCTCCACGCTGAGGGTGCAGAGCCTGCTTAGGATTCTCTCTGTCTCCCTCTCTCTCTCTGCCCCTGCTGTGTGTTCCCTCTCTCTCGCTCTCTCTTTTTCAAAATAAATAAAATAAACTTAAAAAATTATTATTATTTAAAAGAATTTTTTTAATGTTCATTTATTTTTGAGGGAGCGAGAGAGGGGTGGAAAGGGAGGGAGACACAGAATCCAAAGCAGGCTCCAGGCTCTGAGCTGACAGCACAGAGCCCGACGTGGGGCCCGAACTCACGAACCGGGTGATCATGACCTGAGCCGAAGTGGGATGCTCCACCCACTGAGCCACCCAGGTGCCCCTAAACTTAAAAAAAATTATTAAAAAAAACCCTTGGGTTCCCTACAGCTACCTACAGGTAGCTTTCAGGCTTGCGGTTTGCTTTGCTAAGAACAAACAAGGTAAAGAGTTCCCCGCAATCTCGAGGCGTCCCCCAAAACGACCTCTCACTCCTTTGCGGATCAGGAGTGACAGTCATTTGGGGCTCAGCTTCAAGGTTGGAAACTTCTCGTGCTCTGAAGCCACGGTTCTCAGCCACGCTGCTCTGGCTTCGAAGAGGTTCTGGGTCATTCCTTACAAGTGTGCCAGTGTTTCACTTTGAAAAACTAGATTTGAGCGGCTTTAGGGTTATCCCTATAATAACACCACTCAGCACCCATTCCCCGACATCCCGCTATGCTTTTTTGAGCGGGCAAGCGCAGGCCTGGACTTGGGCAATGCCCACGGGAGGGGGTCATGCATGTGAATGCCCCTTGTGAGGGGCAGAAAGGGTGGGGAGTGGCTGCTCTGAAATACATACACGGGATGGCTCAGCCTGTCGGCCACCAGAACAGCCGTGTCGAAAGCCCCCAAGGTCTTCGGACAAGCTGTGGTGTACGGGGCCGTGTCATCAGAAACCCGGGCGTGGGTGGCAGGAGGGATGGGTGCTGGCCTTTCAATCCTGGATTTGACCCCAGCCCCATAGCCTCAGCCACCCCAGCCAGTTGTCACGGAGACTGGTTTGGAGGAGGTAGAAGAAGCCTCTTGCCTAAGTGGAGAAGAGTGTGCGGCCATCCCGCCGCTCCCCGCTAGGGATTTTCTAGGGATTTTTCACGGCAGGAAATAAGAATAATGAGGTCACAGCCTCCGCCTTGGCTTATGGGTGGGTCTGAGAAACCACTTCAGATCGGGGGTCGGCGAGAGAAGGGCGTTGAGAGGTCTGGCTGCCCGCCGCTTTCAACCCTTGCTCTGCTAACTCTCAGGGTTGTGGACGTGAATACTAAAAATTGCGGGGCGCCTGGGGGGCTCAGTCGGTTGAGCGTCCGACTTCGGCTCCAGTCGTGAGCTCGCGGTTCGTGAGTTCGAGCCCCACGTCAGGCTCTGT